TTTTTAATAAAGATGGGGTTTCACCATGATGGCCAGGCTGGTCTTGAACTCCTGACCTCAGGTGACGCACCCACCTCCACCTCCCAAAGTGCTAGGATTACAGGCGTGAGCCACCACGCCCAGCCATCTCCTCTTCTTATGATCACTTTGTCCTTGAGTAGTTTGTCAGCAGAGGCCTAGATGAGACCTCTCACAGATCTGGGACATCTGCAGGAACAGCTGCGGGAAATTTCCCGAACACCGAATAAAGGAGGAAAGAGTTTATTATTTGGCTGGGAGCCTGGGCATAATTTGTCCAAAGCCCAGCTCATTTAACAAAGGAAGGTTCTGCCTTTATATAGGTTTATACTTTAGAAATTACATATGAAAGGGTTTTGGTTTACAATTTTAGGACTTTTTCACATGTGAAAAGGTCTCTGTTTACAGTTTTAGGAATCACATATGAAAGGGTTCCGGTTTACAGTTTTGGTACTCACATGTGAAAAGGCTTTTGGTTTGATTTTGTGTTAAGTAAAAATAGTGTCTTTTAGAGAGTTTCCCCAAGACCAAGCGTGTTATTTTCAGGAAGGAGATTCAGGAGGCGCCAGCTGGCCTGCTCACTCTTCCATGGAGCTGCACAGTGGATGACAGAGGGGGAGGGAATCCCAGATGCCTGGGTCTCCGTCCTCACCCTTACCCTGCCCATGTAGACCTGATTAGGAATCAGAAGGACGGAGGCTTCCTTAATTTCCTCCTGCTTTAGTCACAGCAAACTTCCAGGCCTCAGTCTCCACTTCTGTAAAATGGATGGCCACATCCTTTGCCCTGCTTAGCACATGGAGCTGTTGAGAAATTTCAAATGAAATAATGCATTCCTTTATTTAACATTTCTCGAGCACCTACCGTAGGGTAAGCACTGTCTAGAAACAGGAATCTAGTGGTGACCAGGACAGATGAGTAAACAAATAAATACAGAACATAATGGCAGATGGTGATAGGCACTATGAAGGAAAATAAAATAGAATCAAGTGAGGGGGTGCCAAATTTAAATTGAGTTATCAGAGATGTAAAAAGCATGTGTAAGTAGGAACAAGCCATCTTTACCTATGTCACTTTCTCCCCTGCAGTCTGTCCATCTTCCTTCCTTCCTTCTTTCCTTCCTTCCTTCCTTCTTTCTTGCTGTCTTTTTCCGAGTTTCACTCTTGTTGCCCAGGCTGGAGTGCAGTGGTGCAATCTCAACTCATTGCAACCTCTGCCTCCCAGGTTCAAGCGATTCTCCTGCCTCACCCTCCCAAGTGGCTGGGATTACAGGCATGCGCCACCACGCCCAGCTAATTTTATTGTATTTTTAGTAGAGATTCAGTTTCACCATGTTGGTCAGGCTGGTCTGGAACTTCCGACTTCAGGTGATCCACCCTCCTTGGCCTCCCAAAACGCTAGGATTACAGGTGTGAGCCACCATCCCCAGCTGTCCGTCCCCTTTCTATTTAACCTGCAGGTCACACCATGAAAGATGGACACTTGTTAGTTTGTCATATGCAATTCAACGCAATTTTAATGGCTATGACTAAGGAAGACGGGCTGGGAGAAGACCACCTTGGCCTAGAGCTGCCCCCTCCCATCCTCTTCCTTTGGGGGAGGCACCAGCTAAGACCACTGAGATCATAAAGTCTCCTGAATAGACCTCAAGTCTCCAGATCAGGCCTATCTAAACCTCCCAATTCAAGGAAGCATGGTGTATTGTTCAAAGTGCTCTGGCTGGAAAGCCCCAGAGTTCTAAATATGACTTTAAATTCCAGCAATTCTGAGCAGGAAGAGATTTCCCCTTAGTCACATGATCATATGCTCCAGCCAGTGACAAGCCCAGGTTCTCAACCTGTGAAGTGGGGTGGGGAGCACACATCAGATTCTCAGGGGACGGCTGATTGTGCATGGCCGAACCTGGCGTGCGAATCTATAGAGAGGGTCTGAAGTACCTGACAAAGGCACTTTCTTCTGCACCATGCCCACGAGGTCAGTGAGCTGACCCAGTTTTCGGGTTTTAGGGATGGGGAAGCTGAAGATGAGGGGGACCTTGAGAGTCTGGGATTCTGGCTTTCAGCCAGGCACCCTTCCAACCTTAGGAACAGACCATGCCAACTCTAGCCTTCTGCAAACTCAAGTGATTTACAATAAAGAACATGATTTTTTCCTGAATGACCAGTGAGTAATTTATCAAGCTGGATTTTGATCAGCCACAGAAAGAGAAAAGGGTCTTTGACAAAGCAGGAGACCTGGACTAGAGCCAGCAGCAGAAAGCCCCCAGTGAAGTCACAGAAGCTTGGCAGCTCACCACATCTTTATTTTGAGCAAGACGAACTGCCTTTCTGATAATACAAATTCGTTCTCCAGAGTTTCGAGTGAGGAAGGCATGCCCAGACCAAAGTCCAGCTTCTCTACGAAGGAGGCCAGGCTTAATGAATCCCAGCTCCTGTGTCACTTAGAATCATGCTGGCCCTAGCATCTAAATGGAAATCTCAGTGGCTTCATGTGATAAACATTCATTTCTTGTCACATAAAGTTTGGTTGGTGGGTGGGGAGGGATCCATTCCATGAAGTCATCTGCGGTCCCAGGCTGATGGAGGCTCTGCTGTGTCCTTCATGTAGCTGCTATGTGGGGGGTTGACACCCAGCCAGCAGGCAGGGAAGAGAAAGCATGACAGACTGGGGAGGTGTTTTTTTGTTTTGTTTTGTTTTGAGACAGAGTCTCATTCTGTCGCCCAGGCTGGAGTGCAGTGGTGCAATCTCAGCTCACTGCAACCTCCGTCTCCCAGGTTCAAGCAATTCTCCTGCCTCAGCCTCCCAAGTTGCAGGGATTACAGGCACTTACCACTAAACCTGGCTAATTTTTAATATTTTTAGTAAAGATGGGATTTTGCCATGTTGGCTAGGCTGGTCTCGAACTCTTGACCTCAGGCGATCCACCCGCCTTGGCCTCCCAAAGTGCTGGGATTACAGGTGTAAACCACTGCACCCAGCCAGGGAGGTGTTCTTGTGGGAGGCACCCATCATTTCTACCCATATTCATTGTCGGAACTCAGGCTTGTGATAGTCCATCTATGTTCCTTGCTCCTTGTGAGTGACATTCCCCTTATTTATACCATTCTCCGCCCTTCTTCATCCTGCTCCGTGGCCAGGAGACTGTCCTGTATGGATTGCAGCAATGGGCTTCCTGTCCTCTGGCTTCTGGTTGGTTTTAGTCAAGGAAGTCTCTGGTAGGAGATTCCAAGGTAGTTCATTTCTCTAGTCCCTCCCTGCTGGCTCCATAGGCTGGCCGTGTTGTCCCACTCAGGCCACAGTTCCTCTGCACTGCCCTCTCCACGCAGTCCTTCCTTTCAAGCTGTGTCACTCTCCTTCCCTTTTAGGCTTTCAGTTGAAATCTGTTCAACTGACATTCAGTAGCCCCCTCAGTGGCAAATGGTATCTTGATTTTCCTGAGATACCTGGCTCCCTACATGTAGGTTCGAACCTAGGTTTCTCCTTCTGGATCAAAGAAAAGAGATAATTTGTAATGCACTGTCTGCTGTGCATCTTCTCCCAACTTCCCATCAAAACTCCATGCTGGCTCCCAGTGCTTTACAGCTGCTTCTCTGTGTTATGGCGTAGTGCTTTGATGAATTAACCTGGGATGATATTTTCACAGGTGGTGATGGGGTCTCTCAGATTTCCCTCTGTAGTGTGTCTATACTTGAAACACACATCTTCACAGGACAATGCCGTAATCCTTAAGAGAGACTGGCAGTGAACTAATGCAGGTATCAGCCCAGCATCCCATCTGCCATCTACCTGGTAACAACTGGACTTTGTCTCTGGGAGCAACTCTTCCTACTGCACCACCATGTCCTGCTCCCAGCAGAGGGGGAAGACCCTTTAACCCAGGCTGGGCCATTAAGAGAAGCCCATTCCTACGGCAACTGGTCCAGATGGTGAGTGATCCAGGACAGGCCAATGGGGTCCTTCCCTGGGATTTCTCTTTCTGTATCTGGCTGGGATGTTACCCCAAGCTAGTGGTAGCTGTGCCTTCTGCCATGAGGGGACACCAGAGAGGCAGAAAGGTGAAGAAGTCCCCGGAGGGTCTGGTCTCTACTTCTAATCTTGGGGCTCTTGGAGCTGTCCTGATCCCTGCAGATCTTTCTTCAATTCTTGCAAAAAAAATTGATATATAATAGTTGTATGTATGTTGGGGATACATACAACTTGGGAGGTGGAGGCAGGAGAATCACTTGAACCCAAGAGGTGGAGGTAGCAGTAAGCCAAGATCACACTACTGCACTCCAGCCTGGGTGACAGTGAGACTATGTCTAAAAAAAAAAAAGGGAGAGTCTGTAATCCCAGCACTTTGGGAGGCCGAGGCAGGCGGATCCCGAGATCAAGAGATCCAGACCATCCTGGCCAACACGGTGAAACCTGTCTCTACTAAAAAAAACCACAAAAATTAGCTGGGCGTGGTGGTGCTCGCCTGTAATCCCAGCTAGTCGGGAGGCTGAGGCAGGAGAATTGTTTGAACCCGGGAGGCGGAGGTTGCAATGAGCCGAGATTGCACCACTGCACTCAAGCCTAGTGCCTGGCGACAGAGTGAGGCTCTGTCTAAAAAAAAAAAAAAAAAAAAAAAATCCTAAGGAATAATAAAAGAAAAGAAACCATGAGAACTACTTAATGAGTTGAGTAAGTTTGCAGAATACAAGACTAACCTACAAAAGTCAATTGTATTTCTATCTATGACAATGCACAACGTGAAAATGAAATGTAAAATAATTGTTTCCAATGCCATCAAAAGAATAAAACACAAATAAACTTAAAGCATAAAACATATATTCTGAAAACTACAAAGCATTGCTGAAAGAATTTAAAGCAAATCTCAATAAATAGACAGATATAATCTGTTGTTGGGTTGTTAAGATGGCAATATTCCCTAAATTAGTCTACATAGTCAATGCAATCCCTATCAAAATTCCAGCTGCTTTTTTTTCTTTTTTTTGCAGAAATGGACAAGCTCATCTTCATATTCATATGGCATTGCCAGTGACCCTAACTAGCCAAAACAGTCTTGTAAAGAAAAACAAAGTTGGAGGGCCCACATTTCCCAATTCCGAAACTTGCTGCAAAGCAACGGTACTCAAAACAGATTGGTACTGGCATAAGGATATAGATTAAGAACAGTTTTTTCAACAAATGGTGTTGGGACAATGGGTGTCCACATGCAAAAGAATAAATTTATCCTCTTACCTTACACCATATGCAAAAATGAACTCAAAATACGTCAAAGACATAAACATAAGAGCTAAAACTATAAAACTTCTAGAAGAAAACATAGAAGTAAATCTTTATAACCTTGGATTAGGCCATGACTTCTTAAACGTAACACCAAAAGCATAAGTAATAAAATTTAAAAATAGATAAACTGAACTTCACCAAAATTAAAGCCTTTGTGCTTCATAGGACACCGTCAAGAAAGTAAAAGAAATCATCCACAGGATGGGAGAAAATATCTCCAAATTATATATCTGATAAGAGAATTGTATCCAGGATTGAGAAAGAATTCCTACAACTCAATAATAAAAAGACAAGCCCAAATTCGGCAAAGAACATGAATAGAGATTTCTCTCAAGAAGATATACATGAAGGACATGAAGAAATGTTAACATCATTGTATTAGTCCGCTTTCACACTGCCGATGAAGGCATGCCTGAGACTGGGTAATTTATAAAGAAAAGAGGTTTAGGGCCGGACGCAGTGGCTCACGCCTGTAATCCCAGCACTTTGGGAGGCCAAGGCGGGTGGATCATGAAGTCAAGAGATCGAGACCATCCTGGTCAACACGGTGAAACCCCATCTCTACTAAAAATACAAAAATTAGCTGGGCATGGTGGCGCGTGCCTGTAATCCCAGCTACTCGGGAGGTTGAGGCAGGAGAATTGCCTGAACCCAGGAGGTGGAGGTTGCGGTGAGCCGCGATCGCGCCATTGCACTCCCTCCTGGGTAACAAGAGCGAAACTCCATCTCAAAAAAAAAAAAAAAAGAAAAGAGGTTTAATTGACTCACCGTTCCACATGGCGGGGGAGGCCTCACAATCATGGAAGAAGACAAGGAGGAGCAAGTCACATCCTACATGGCGGCAGGAGAGAAAGAGCTTGTGTAGGGGGAGAGAGAGAGCTTGTTCAGGGAAAATCCTCTTTATAAAATCATGGAGTCTCGTGAGACTTATTCACAATTGTGAGAACAGCATGGGAAAGACCTGCCCACATGATTCAATTACCTCCCACTGGGTCCCTCCCACAACATGTGGGAATTGTGGGAACTACAATTCAAGGTAAGAATTGGCTGGGGGCGTGGGGGCGGGGGGACGTAACTAAACCACGACAATCATTAATCATCAGGGAAATACAGGACAAACTACCATGAGATACTATTTCTTGCCCACTAGGATTATTAGGGAAATTGAAGCATAGGAGAGCCACGGTGACACCATTTTAAAATCAACTCCATCTTAAAACTGGCAAGGCGGCCAGGCGCGGTCGCTCACGCCTGTAATCCAAGCACTTTGGAGGCCAAGGTGGGTGGATCACCTGAGGTCGGGAGTTCAAGACCAGCATTACCAACATGGTGAAACCCTGTCTTTATTTAAATTTAAAAAAAAAAGAAAAAAAGAAAAAAAACTGGCAAGGCATATTCCTTGCCAGTTATGACTCGTGGTCCTAAATGTTTACAGTTGAGGAAACACCTAAAAAATACCTGCAACAACACACTCCTACAATGACAAAAAGCCCAGATGTCCCACTATCCGTAACAAGATATGCTTTTAAGATGACTATGGTCATGCTTTGATGTACTTATGCACTAAAATGCCAAAGATAACATTCTTTAAATCAACAAAGTACTAAATTTTATCATGCTGTCAGCCCACACACACACAGGCTTAATTTATCTTAGCTTTTACATAGATGAGACTCCTATATGAGAAGAGCGTAAGATAGAGATCGCGTGTTTCTCCTCTTGCTTTCTGAGGACACCCTACTCTGTGAGTAGCTTTCAATAAACTATCCTCTCTCTGCACTTTGTAACTTGCCTTGAATTCCTTCCTGTGTGAGATCCAACAACCCTCTCTTGGGGTCTGGATTGGACTCTTTTTCTGGCAACAGCAGGGCTGTAATTTTTAAAGAAAGATGGACATTAACAAGTGTTGGAGAGGATGTGGAGAATTAGAACCCTCAGACATTAGAATGTAGACTGGTGCAGCTGCTGTGGAAAACAGTTTAACAATTTCTTAAAAAGCTAAAATAGAGTTACCATATGACTCAGCAATCCTGCTTCTGAGTATATGCCCGAGAGAATTAAAAACATATGTCCACCCAAAAACTTGTAGAAAAATGTTCATGGTAGCATTACTTGTAGTAGCCAAAGCTAAAAACAACCCGAATGCCCATCAACTGCTGAATGGATAAACCAAATGTGATCTATCCACAAAATGGAACGTTATGCAGTCGTGAAAAAAGAATAAATTTCTAATACATGCTGTGACATGGTTGAACCTTGAAGAAACGGTGTTGAGTGTAAGGAGCCAGTCACAACATATGATTGTATGATTCCATTTATATGAAATGTTCAAAGAGGCAAATCCACCCAGCCAGATGGGAGATTAATGGTTGACTGGGGTTCGGGGTGAGAGGGTCTGGGAGGGGACTGCTAATGGGTTTAGGATTTCTTTCCAGGTGGATGCAAATGGTCTGGAAATAGGCAGTGGTGGTAATTAATGCACAACTTTGTGAAAATACTAAAACCCACAGAATTGTACACTTGTAAAGAGTGAATTTTAGCCAGGTGCAGAAGCTCACGCCTGTAATCCCAGCAACTTTGGGAGGCCGATGCAGGTGGATTGCTGGAGGCCAGGAGTTCGAGACCAGCTTGAGCAACATGGCAAAACCCCCTGTCTCTACTAAAATCACAAAAACTAGCTGGGGTGGTGGCGTGCACCTGTAATCCCGGCTACATCAGGAGGCTGAGGCACGGAATTGCTTGAACACAGGAGGCGGAGGTTGCAGTGAGCCAAGATTGTGCCACTGCACTCCAGCCTGGGTGACAGAGTGAAAACAGAATAGTGAACTTTATGGCATGTGAATGAGATCTCAATAAAGCTATTATTTAAAAAAAATTATGAGCAAACAGAGGCTCTGCACAGAGTGGCAGCTTCCCCAAAGAGGGCAGCAAATCAGAGGCACTTTCCTAGGCCTGGCAGAGTGAGACGTAGCATGAGGATTAAGAACCCAGGCTTTGAAACTGACGGTTGTGGTTGAATCCTGCTTCCACGTGTCATGAGCTGTGGGATGGTGGAAAATGGACTCAATCTCTCTGAACCTCTGAATTGTAAAATGAGAAGAACTACTTTGTGAGGTTCCTATGAGGGTTAACTTTTTGGTAGCTTAGAATATTCAGTAAATGATAAGTAGTTTTATCATTTTTTTTTTCTCTAGAAAAAAGAAGGAAAGAGGTCTCTGGAAGGCGACTTTGACCTTGGTCTGAAGGTGGAAGGAACAGGCCCAGTTTAAACAAGCGAAAATAGATTTTAGGTTCTAGCTTGGGCTGGAGGGATATGGAAGACCCTCTCCAGGCACGGTGGGTGGTCAGTTGGGGTTCGGGGGGGTGACCAGAGGCAGAAAAACTGCAGACGCTCAGCCTCCTATGAGGCTGCCAGGTCTGTGGGTTGGAAATGGATACTCTGTTATTCAAGTTTTCTGCCAGGAGAAAAATGAGATAAGTTATTACCATCATGTTTTGTTACACAACTTTTCCTCTCACTCTCGGGAAGGAGCTGGGAGCTCCTCTCCCGTCTCACATCTTATATTAAGTGTGAGCCCAAATCAGCTCAGGCTGTCCTCAGCTGAGCTGATAAATCTGCATTCCAATGACCACCAGCAGCTGGCCTGCTAGGGCCGGCATCTCAGTGAGGCTGTCTGTTTTCTTCTCATCAATATTTGATTCTTGCAGAATAACAGATGATGATGATCTCATTCTTTGTGCTTTTGCGTAGTTTTCACATGGTCTACGGGGACGAGGTATCTAATTAAAGTGCCATTAGGAGAAACCGTAATAAGCATGGCTCACGCCCGTGTTGCCCTTTGTCTAGACTTTTCTTTCTCCTATCTTGCATGGCTGCCTTGGTCAAGATAAAGCATATTTGTGAGCTGTATCAGTCACGGTTCAGCTGGAGGAAACCACAGTGCTAATTTTAGCGGGAAAGGTATCAGGGGTGTACAAAGCCACTGGGAGGGCTGGAGGAGCGGGTTCCAGGTGGGGCTCCAGGGACGAGCTGGAACCTCAGCACTGCAGCAGTGATGCAGAGGGCGGGGGCCGCACTGCCCATGGAGGAGTGTCAGCACGCCAGCCTTGCTGGAATGCCCAGCTTCTCCTTGACCTTGCTTGTTCAGCCACAAAAATGCCCTCACTTCACTTCCTCCTCCCAACCTAGGCCAGGGCATCGAATTGTCAGATCCTAATTCATATCCAAAACTCCAGCTGCTATGGGACCAGGTGAGTTTACTTTTCAGCTTTCCTGACTCTGAGGGAGAGAAAGGGCCCTTGATGGTGTGAACCAGGCCAACCCACCAGGACCTTACATCGAGATTTTAACATGTAATTTGGTTCAGTACTTACTCGAGATAACTAACAATCCTTTTATTGAATTTAATTAATTAATTAATTGTTTTTTTGAGATGGAGTTTTGCTCTTGTTGCCCAGGCTGGAGTGCAATGGCACAATCTTGAATCACTGCAACCTCCACCCCCAGGGTTCAAGCGATTCTCCTGCCTCAGCCTCCCGAGTAGCTAGGATTACAGGCATGCGCCATCACACCTGCCCAATTTTTTCTATTTTAGTAGAGATGGGGTTTCTCCATGTTGGTCAGGCTGGTCTTGAACTCCCGACATCAGGTGATCCGCCTGCCTCAGCCTCCCAAAGTGCTGGGATTATAGGCGTGAGCCACAACACCTGGCCAGGGCCTACCCAAGTTCTAAGTGTGCCTCCCTTATGACCCAGATCTTCTGTGTCTGAGAATACACCTTTCACAAAACTTCTCACATACATGCAGACATATATTTATAGAGATGTCCTCTGAAGCATGGTTATCGTTACAAAATGTGGGGGAAGTCCAACTGTCTAGCAATGGGGTTTGATAAGTAAATACAGTGGAAAACCCTGCAGCTCATGTAAATACAAAATCTGCAAGAACTGATGGGCAAGGACTCGTGATGCCTCTGCAGGTTCAAGGCTGGGGCCCTGGGCCATCTGCCAAGTGGCGATGCTACCCTGTCTGTGAACATTTGGAGCTGGTAAAATGAATGATGATTCAGAGAACATGGCACGGAAAGACATAATTGCTTTTGTTATATAAGATAATTTCTGGCCGGGCGCGGTGGCTCAAGCCTGTAATCCCAGCACTGTGGGAGGCCGAGGCGGGTGGATCACGAGGTCAAGAGATCGAGACCATCCTGGTCAACATGGTGAAACACCGTCTCTACTAAAAATACAAAAAATTAGCTAGGCATGGTGGCACGTGCCTGTAATCCCAGCGACT